TCAATCCATAAAAATAAACAAATGCTTTAACTATCGAGCCCTAGTAATAACCAATTATATGGTTAGTATCATTAACGTTCGATATTAAATTTCAGGAAATTTTTAAGTGGCATGCGTAAATTTAATTTTATTTTTGATTTATTCAATAGTTTTATCTTCTTTTTTCTTCTTCCCCAGCTTATCGGTCCATTAAGTGCCATCGCTGCAATCACAAAACCTCTCCATTTTTTTCTATCATATGTGTCGTCAAAAGATGACTCTTTTACTATATTTTTGATCTCTTGAGCTACAATTTCCACCCATCGGGTCATTGATTTTCCTAATGGACAACACTTTTATACTTCCGTCAAACAAATTAAGTAATAGCTTTCTCATAATTAAAATACATTATTTTTGTATTTTATAGTATTTTATTATCTTTTTTTATTTTAAAATACGAGAATAGGACTGTGTATGATATGAACTCATATTGGAAGGGGGGGGGTGCTGTTCAAGCTCAAATTTTCGTAGTCCTTACTACACATTTCATGAAAAAATAAAATAAAATAATGAATAGCATTGTAATGAGTAGAACCTCGAAAAGTATTCGTCAACATTTTTATCACTAATCATATTATAAATCATGGTAAAATGTACTCTTAAAATGTACTCTTACTAAAATCTACTCTTATTTAACGTAATAAACAATTATATCGTAATTTAATGTCGAGTTAAAGTTTAACGCTTATTTAGTAAACGATCTTTAAAATAAAATAAAATTAGTTTTCCGCAATCCAGTTCGTTACGTACAACAAAAAATATAATTCTGTGAATTTATTTTTGTAATACATTTATAAAAGTCCTCAAATTGTTTCCCTGAATCGAGATTTATTTCGAATAAATATTAATTTTTGTTTTGAATACTTCAAATTTACTTTTATTGCTAGATTAATTAAATTAATTTTAAATATAGTCATACATACTTTAAAATATGATGATGCGAGACAAATACGTAATGGTTACTTCATATTATCATACTACAATAATGTCTACGATTATATCGGATTTAAAATTATTATGTAAAACGATATGTGCGTATTTCAATCAATCAAAAATTGCACGAAAAAAAGATTAGTAATACGTTTAATAATATATATATATATATATATTTATACATGGCTTATGTTACATTCGCATTTTTACGCGCAACAACATCAACACACACATACACACACGTACGTACGTACGTACGCCCGTAAGAAGTTATGACGTGTATATATATTTGGTATTTGTGGTTAGTTGATTTCCACACACTGACGAAGGCCAAGGGTATTTTATTATTGTTATTAATAAAGCTTTTAGCAGCATGTGCATTCGTATGGTCGTGAGGGGCGGGGGGCTGAATTCCTTTCGAAGGGATTTATATTTCCAGCTGTTATCTACCCGTACAGCGTACCGCGGCGATGTATTATATCGGACAGGGATATATAATACACGTATATATATTCGGTTGAAATGATGTTGCTCGGAGTAGGGTATATAAGACGGAGGTGGAGAGGACTTTATATATATTATATACAGGCGAAGGATATAACCCACACATAACGCGGGGCGTCATCCGTTCCGGCCGGCATGAATAGCGCCGCCAGGCTCCGTCTTGTAGATTTCCACTTTTATTGACCTCTCCACCCTTCGCTCGATCCAAACACCCACACACATGGTCGCGTACGCGTATACGCTCGGTTCGTATACGGTTAAGAAGACCTAAATAGCGCGCACGCGCACGCGCGTGTGTGTGTAAGTATTTCGCCTTTTTTTTCTCAATTTTTTTTCTTTGGCGTTCCCAGGAAAAATATGCGAAGGAGCACGGGGGTTATATATGATTTATGGTCATCTGTGGTAATAGTCGTTAGGGCTTTCTCGGTGCTTTCGGTCAATATGGGTGGCGTATGATAACAGTGAGAGAAATAGAGAGAGAGGGAAGAGAAAGAATGAAAGAAACCGAAAAAAAGAAAGAGAGTGAGAAAAAGAGAGAGAGAGAGATAGTAGAACGTACCAAAGATAGACAGCAGTGGCAGGATACGCGTGTTATTTTTTATTTAGTTTTTTTACGGTGGTTTATATAAGATATTTTTCAGAACCCTCAACAGAGACGAGACAATAAAAACCCAAAGTTTCTATTTTTTTTACGACGGATTTTTGATTTTTGCATTTTTATAAGACGTCTGTGCGGGTATTTTCCGAACAAATTATACATTCACTAGAAATACGAAAAACTCGCAAAAAGTTATAATAATAATAACCCACTGTTATTTTATGATCGTTCGGGGACCCGGTTGCGTTCGGGATGAATAAAAAAAAATTGAACCTATCATGGTTTAAAAGTAAGTTATTAGTCGGGCGATCGTAATAAAAACAACAAATGCTCAAGTCAAACTTTGCCTTATCGTACATGTTATATTTAATGTTATTTTTTCGCTAAAACTTTTCAGGGGATGACACCTATTTTATGGGTAACATTATTTGTTTATAACCATATTACCAGCAGGTTCAAATGTTTTAGTAGTTTTCGATTTCTATACTTATTTATACTATCACAAATTATTTTATTGTTGATTTAAAAATAATCTGACTTGATTTACGTATTTTTGAATGCTTCGATGTTATTTCAGATAAATTTCAAAATGATTTAATATATCTTTTAACCTGCCATTCAACACTAAGTAATAATACTAGTTTATCATCTAGTTTATCTAGTTATACACATCACCTATAATTAAAAAATATTAAATTAAATAATAATAACATAATATTTAAAAATGGATAACTTTCTAAGTAAAAAAATGTTTACTATTGTAATCATTAAAGCCAATTAATAGAAATACCTAACTCAAATTGCTTTGTTAATTAGTTTTTGTATTTTTATTTTTTTACGGGAATGTGGTTTTATTTGGATTGATTCGCATGTCTTTCTTTATACAAAAACGTGTAACAGAATTAAAAAACTAAAGAGAAGTTATGGTTTTAAATTATGTATTCAAAGCAATTCAAGCATTTATTACAACAGCCAAATCTCCATTAAAAAAAATAACATCGAAATATGTAAAATGCTCTAACAATCTTTGACATAGTTAGTCAAATATCAATAGGATATTAAATAAAATCACCATCAATTGCAAGTAGCTATACATTTTAATGATGGCACGCACGTGTATTTGTAAAACAATTGAAACGGAAAAACTCAGATAAATAAAATATTCAGTTGTTGTACACAATGAAGACTGGTGAGTTACCGTTTGCTAACCAGGTAATAAAGAAGGATTAATAGCAGACTTAAATTAATTAAATATGAGTTGAATAATATAATATTTTGATTATAGGCAGCGATCGGAGAAATGTATCTATAAATACCAATATTCCCGAACTATCTTGTGCCCAATTACCTTTGCATCCAAATGTCATGGGCCTAATTTTCCGCGCACAAATAACCCAAATCCAAGTGTCGGCATATCATCTATACATGCAGTCTGCAAGAAGAAACTCGAGCATCAACATTCAAAGTACCTGTTACGTTCACATGAAAATTTACTATTTTTATTTATAATAATTTGGGTACATCATTTAAGCTGAAACGACCTGGTTGCAATTTATCAATCGTATACTAGCGTATGTCTGACGGTTTTGTGTACAAGTGTAACGAGTCACTACAATTCTCCCGGTTTCCAACGAGGCAGGCGTACGCGTCGGCGACGGTGGGTGTTATAATTTACGTTATAAATAAAATAATGAAGAATAACACTGCGTCGCAGTAAAATGATCACTGATACGATATAAAAATGAAATAAAATACTATATTGAATAAAAGAAAAATAAATTGTGATACGTAGTAACCAAAAACGTGATGATCGCGGAAGAAGGTATCTCGTAGAGACGGTGTCAGTAACGTTTGCAATTGGTCGGAAAACGGACCGGCTCAAAAGTCGTACCCGGCGGACGTCGTTATGGCGATCCGCGTCAAATAAAATATGGGCGAAACTCCTTGGGTCGGATGAGATACTGGGATAGGTGAATGATATTACTGTGCTGGTCTTTTTAACTTGAAACAATTGTACTATTGCACTCGAAAAAAGAATTCTCAGTGAAAAAGGTCCGGGAAGAACAGTTTATTTTTCTAAAGATGGTTGACATAGCAATATAACCACATTTCTTAATGGTTGTACTTATTATGTTTTAACTTTTTCGAATAAATTATCTAGATAGTTAAGTAAATGACTAAAATATAAGTAGGTACTTGGTAAATGTTTCAAGCCGCTACGATAAATACTTATAGAATAACTAATACCATATAATTTAAATCATAATAGACAAAACATTTGATTTCATTAGCATTTAATTTTCTAACGTTTGTAAAAAGTTTTTGCAAGTTTTTGGTAATTTTTTTTTTTTTTTTGTTTTGCCACAAAGAAAATCTTATAAAAATATACCACCTTTTAACATTTTCAAATACCTTTCCTAAAAGTCAAAATATTTATCCAATATAATTTATATCGCACTAGTGCCGTTGATAAATTTTATCATTGATGGTATGGCATATCTAGAAAGTGTTGTATATACTAACTGTATGTAAGATTTTAAAGCTTACAAACAATTAAATATAATAAACTTGATATACTTAAAAGAAAAGGATATAAAAAACAAAACGGGATGTGTAATAATTTTTTTTTTTTAATTTAGTAAATCTAAATTATATTATTAGCAGTTTATCTAATAAATACTAACAATAATTCAGCAAATAACAGTTCAGACACTTAACACTATAATAATATGCACGTAGCAAAAAAAAAGGTATAATAATATTTTGATAATGTAATACTTATAATATACATAATACTTTAACACAAAACGAAATAAGTAATAGTAAAACGCTAAGTAACGATTATTTTCGGTAACAATATAGATTAAATAAGATTTATACAATATAAAATAAATAAAATACACTTAAAAATTACTATATATAGACACACTATTATTATTATTTTTTATTAAGTTTATTAAAATGATTCGTGTTTCAATGACGTCTAGTTTATTTATATCTAAAGACATGATATAGAGTCTACAAGAATCATCGAGACATTTATATTATAAGTACATAAATGTATCAACAATCGTTTAAACTGATAATTTACCGATTGGCGATCGATTGGTAATATTCATGGTAGAATACATAGAATAATAAATATTGCCTGGCATTCGTGATATTTCTAAACAATACGTCGTAAAAATAATGTGTGAATAGGTGACCCCCTACGTACAGATGAATTTTAAAAACGTTATCATTCGATTTCGGTCCATTTAATTTCAATATTAGAATCATACTAAAAGCGATCACATGACAATATTTATTAAGGACAAAGAGATATTTTAATCTATTTATCGGACCCCATTACAAAATTAAATTCTAGACCCCCCTCCATACACGGACATGGTTAATTATTACTCGTATTCGGCTATGATTTGTATGGACATTTGTCATTTTTGTCGACCCTAATGGTCACCCTTGTTTTCACATTAGAGGGTAAAGTGCACGCATGAAAAAAAAATGACAAGAGCAACCCAAATCGGATTTAAGTTGAAAAAAAAATATTGCCCGTGTATAGTAATTGAAAATTATGACCGCTTTAGACTAGGTTTTTTCAAGACCGATTGAATGAATATATCTTTGCAAGTTGTAGCGTAACTCGTGTTAAACTGTTAACAATTGTATAATTTAATAAATTTGCCAAAGGAAACTGCTGTACACTTAAGAATATATACATAAAGATAAGTTTAAATCGTCGTGAAACAACCGATCGAGAATACATGAAAATACGTAAAAAGTACCTTACTTAACTAACATTATTTGAACCTGGAATATAATAGAATGTTTTGTAGTATATTTTACATTATTGCGTTAAACTAAAAACGGGCTACGTTCCGTACAGTTTATATTTCTTAAGTATAATTTTAATAATTTTCGCACTAAAAGTTTAGAATGTAACTCGCTCGTCACATAGTAAAACCGAAGGTTATGTGTATATATATATATATATATAATATTAATCTAAACTCCGGTGAACAGTGTCGTATACCTACGTAGTATGTTTATAAAGTGATATATTATAATATGTATGTATACGATAAGTAAAAAACAGAAAGAAAAAACAAAAAAATAATAAAAATCAACTAAAACAAACCGGGTTGGTCAAATCTATAGTTGTGTTTTCTTGGCGTAGAGATCTTTGTTGCGAGAAGAATGCGCTGTAAAGGATTTTCGTCTTTTACTCACTCGTCAGTAATCCGTCGAACTCCGACCACACGAACGTAGTGACAACGACAACACATGGTGATGAGACATGATGCACACGTGGATCTGCTTGTGGCGGATGGGGGTGGGAGTTTGGACGCTCAGATGTGGCGGTCGTCCGCGAGCCGCGCGTACGAGGCGGTGCGCCTGCGGCCACCCGCGGCCGCCTTACGTCATTTGGCGCCCTGCTGCTGCTGCTGGTGGTGCTGGACCGGCACGTCGTCCTCGTCGTCCAGCCGATCGCCTTCCTTATCCTGGTGCGCGGTCATGTGCCGTGTCAGGTGGTGCCGTTCGCGAAAGCTCTCGTCGCACACCGGACACCGAAGCTTGTCCATGTCCCGGCGCTTCTTGGCGTCCGCGCCGCCGCCCGAGCTCCCGACGCCTGCGCCGCCCAGACCACCCAAACCCCCGCTGCCACCACCGGCACCGTCGCCCTTGTGGTGCGAACGCATGTGGTACACCAGGTCGGACGTCATGCGAAAGCTCACGTTGCACTTGGCACACACGTTCTGCGACGGCAAGGTGAGCGCGGCCGCGGCGATAGACGCGGGCAGCAGCATTGCCGGCAGAGCGGCTACCGCGGCGGCGGCCGCTGGCCCGAACTGCAGTGGAGATGGCGAAGGCAACGATTGCTGATGCTGCTGCTGCTGTTGCTGTTGCTGTTGGTGCTGCTGGTGCTGCTGCTGTTGATGTTGTTGGTGATGTTGGTGCAGCGGTTGCAACGTTGACGGGTAGTCCTTGCAGCCGACCGCGGTGGGTTGCGTCCTCGGCGGCATCATCATGGCGAACGGTGAACGGAAACCTAACGGGAACGGTGACATAAAATGCGCCGCGGCCGGCGGCAGGGGAGGGCTGAGGCTGCACTCGTGCTGTTGCTGATGCTGCTGGTGCAAGTAGGTACCGAACTCGACTAGCGGCGGTGTGGCCGGTGACGAGGCGGGCGACAGGGCCAACGGTGGGTCCGGAGAGATCACTTTGGTGAATGCCGACCGGGCTACGGGTGGCGCGGCCGCGGACGGCGGCAGTGGTCGCGGCCGTCGTTTGCTCAGGTCGTCCGGTGCCATCAGAAACGCCACGTCGAAACTGCGCTTCTGCGGTCTCTGGTGCAGCGCTGCCGCGGGCAGGGACGTCACCTGCTGCGCCATCTCGGTATCCGTGGGCGATGAGTACCGCGACGATGGTGACGACGACGCGGTCGTCACGTTTCGGTGATGGTGGACGTCCATGGTCATTCTGCTGAGCTGACTATAATCTGAAATCACACACAGCCATGATCGCGTATAAGGTTATGTTAGATCGTTTTATCACTCCGGGGTGGCAACAGGGCTATAGTGTTATACGGTGGAACAATATATCTACTCCGTTTCCGGTTGAAATTCGAAACGTAAATCATTTTGAAAACGACAACGTCGTCTTTCGTGTCAGTCAAAACTGATCGATCGGGTTTGCACGCGGATCCGATCCGTTGGGGACAACACATACACTCAATAATAATCGAACCATAGTCCAACAATAATATTCACTTGAAAATCACTTATATGGTAGTCACTCATATCATATACCTTGGACGTATTCGTAAAATAGTCCTCGGACACGATATTACATGTTATCATAAAATATATATATATAACCATAGTACTATACGTAATTTATTCATAACCATACGACATTTTGTAATTACATTTATATTACAATTTTCAAATTATATTTCAACCATAATTAATGCCATAAGTACTAAATTATATTTATAACCTTATATTATCTAATAATTATTTCTCAGTCATTAGATAGACTATAGGTAATACGGAAATATAATCAAAAACGAAAATAAATACCAAACGAAATTGTTCTGTGCTCCACGCGATTTAAAACTTTACAAATAATCCCTCATCTAAACACAAAAAATAAACAAGAATGGTCGATTTCTTCTTAAAATAGCGTAGTTTTAATTATTACTTTCAACTATAAAATAATTTTTTCAAAATATTTTTAAATATATTTAGGATACTATAAGTAAATAACTATTTGAAAGAGTGGAGAGCGCATATCTGACTGCAAAACTAACTTTAAGGTTGAATACAAGAAGAGTGAAGTAAATAAATTAAATCAACAATAAGAATTTTGCATGTCTTATAATAAAATTCAATTTTTTCTAAAACTTGAATTATCAATAATTCGATTTTTTATAAACCAACGTAAACTACAAGACTCCACTGAAATTGTAATTACATTTAGTTCAATGCTCTCCAACATGTGTTTATAATTATCACGAAGACTAATTGTAGCATTAGCCACTTGGCCTTAAAAAGTTTAAATTTATGATCTTAAACGGGTACTAAGTTTGAAAATGCTCCGTTAGTTACAGCTTTAAATTGTATATAAATTATTTAATCAATGCTATGTAATCATAAACTAAACACATAATTTATAAATGCCTTAAACAATGTTCTACACATGGTGCGTTGAATATCGAAACTGACCACTTGTTGATTCATAAGGGATAAATGATTATGATGACGATTCTATTTAAGTACTTTTGTACGACAAATAAACAAAATGGTTCTCTGATTATTTTTTTTTTTTTTAATCCATACCAAAAAATTTCCATATAACCATATGTATTTAAAAATATTTGTGAAAAAACACGAATCTATACAAATCTTACTCTTAATATATTGATCAAAAAAAAAAAAAACTGCACAGTTTATATTTTTAACAATACCTATGATTCGATATTTTAATATAAAAACATTATTTATTTAATCAGGAAATTATAGTCTTTTAAGTCGTCCATTCATCACTACAACACGCACATTTTGTTATAGAACAACACGAACCGGTCGAAAAATTCTAGTATATTTTACTTTATTTCTCACCACTTGTCTAACACGAATGAATGGATTAAATTTTAAAATGTTCCAAACTAAGGTTTATGTATATCTTACAAATATTACGGACAACCGCCATTTTTTAAAATACGCCGTAACTTGATTTCCTTCTTATCGTCTTATCGTTTCTGGGATTTTTTAATATTTACATCTTTTGAGTGAATTTAAGCATAGCAATCTTGAAAATTATAACCACGAACTATAAAGTAAGAACTTCATATTTTGTTAATTTTCGTTCTTAAATTATATGCCGCCAAATAAATACATAATAACAAAAATAAAATATGTATGTATATATAATGTATGTTCCGTTTATAGTTTAAACACTTATATCTACTTTTTCAGCAGGGCATTTTCTACAAAATATTTAAATTACACAAAGACATCAGAGTTTTTTTTTTAATCAATAGTGTAGCCAAAGGGGGTTTTAAGGTTCAGATCCCTCAACCGTAATTTTTTCTCAAAATTAAATTAAATGATCTTAAATACCTATTACATTTGAAATTATAAAAGTTGCTAGTTAAAAAACATGTCTTTACTTTAAATTCCTAACATTTTTTTGTAGCTATAACATTGGGTGAAATAAATATTTTTCGTTGTTATCTTTATCAGTGATTCGTTTCTACTGCAATAAAATTAACATTTTAAATAAACTTTTATGTTAACAAATCGAATTCTCTTTCATCAGACGAATTGAGTTTACAAAATAATTTGATATTTATGTAAGCAATCGTCAATTATTACTCTGCGACTATTTAAACGTAAATATCCTTATGTTATTTTCCTACAGACTGGTGAATTTAACTGGAGTACACAGATGCGTGAACTAATTCATGTTCGTTCTTTCTGGACCATATACCTATACAGCTAGCCGTAGGTATACTCAGCTCTTAGATAGATGGCGTAAAAATAATCAGTTACTGCGTCTTAAATACTGCAATTCTGACCATACTCACCTCTATGGCAGTCCTATATTTTACTAATCTCTTAATTGGTATCAGAATATTCGAAGGACTGTTCGAAGTTAGTGTAATGATACGCGTTCTTTATACTTTATTTTTAATATATATATAGTTTGCACCACTTAGGGATTCGTCTTCCCCAGTATTCACGTTGTGTAGCTCCACTTGATAAATACACTCATTCGGGGTCAATAACTTTTTCTAGAAGTTTTATGGATGTGGTGAATTGATATATAATATGTGAATGGTTGGTAAACGACTACGGTTGGCCTTATGCATTTTATGTACTAGTTAAAAGGTCCCAACACAATGATTCGTGTGAATAATTAATCTTTTTTCTTAACGCTTAGGTATCATGGGTATAATATGGTCCATAGTTTGGTTGGTGCTTGTTGCCGAATCTCCAATAGATGACAGATACTATAGAGGAATTGAACTACATTATCAACTCAATCAGTTAGTTTGATTTAGAAAGTAAATGTATTGTTGTCAAACGCAACTTTGATAATTTTCTCTTTTTTTTATTAAGGATGATGATTCCTAAAATGAGCCTTTCAGTTTTTCTCTATTTCTAGCGTTTTCTATTTGAATCGTCTAGTCACTGTTCGTCTATATACCCTTTGTATATATTAATCTTTTTTACTTCGATCTATCACGCGGTATTTTCCCTTTATGTTTTCCTTCATCTTTTCAGTTCTATAGACTTATTAATAACCCCATTTATTTGTTTTCAATAAATTCTACAGCAATAGGATTTTTAAACGATCTTCTTAAATTTCCATTATGTCTTATCTCATATTTTCTAGTATTGTCTTATTATTATTATAAGTATCATATAATATTCTAAGTACTATTAATATGTATATGTTTATTTTACAGTCAATTGTTTGATCTATCCTTGGGTGGATTTTATTATATCCAAATCACTATATGCAATAATATGTGCCCACTTTGTTACAAATTGTATATAATCTACAAGCCATTCTTTGATCAACCAAACTACATGAATGGTAACTATAAAGATTAAATTCTAAAATAATGATAACAATCAAAATATATTTATTTTAATATTCAGAAGTTTAAAATTCTGACATTAAATACTCAAGTTTTTGGACTGCTGTGCCATTTATTTTCTTATCCATCATTCTTCATCTTGCTGAACTTTTTGCAGATTGGCTTAGAAAGAAGAAAAAACTTGATACTACTTTAGCACGTACTTATATTTTACTAAATATAGATATACAGGTATATACTTATATTTAAAATTGTAATATTAAACTTTATAGATTAGAAAGCTCTTCTATCGCAGTGCTTTCATAAGTCAATCGTTATTCATATAATCAACAGCATATGCCGAAACTCGACAAAAATCTGTAGTTTATTTATCAATCATGCTAGGGCTTGGAACATTTGCTTGGGCTGGGTTTACGTAATTCACAACTAACTAAGAAACTTTAAAATTACACACCTATTCTCATGTTTTGTATTTTACAGTGTTAACCATTTGGATATAAGTACTCAATATTCCAGCATATTAATGGCGATCACCAACACAGTTGCTACTATATCAGGTGTCTTAAACCCTGTTGTAACTAGTTATATCCGAAAAAATAAAGTTAGAATTTCAATAATATAGTTAAATTTAAGAACTTTAATTGAATTTCAATATATTTCTAGGATAAGGAAGAGTGGACCATGATATTCTCCGTTACTAGTGGTGTTTTTTTGTTTGGAGCATTATTTTACGGCTTATTTTCTTCAGGTGAACGACAACCTTGGACTTCATTTGAAACAGTAGAAAGTAGTACAATCATTATAAGACGTTCAATCAATGATACACTGACAACATGATAGATCGAAACACATAGAGAACAACATTGAATTGCATTTTTTTCATTTTTCTGTGTCATAATTATTATATACAAGTAATTTCTAGTCGAATATAATGTTTTAATATATAAATATACAAAAATAGATCTGAAAAAATTGCTAGTTTATGATTTATATGCTTTAAATTATCGAATAACAAAAAACACAAGTTGCTCGGAAATAATTATATTTAAATGTTCTGATAATAAAAAAATAGAAATACTGAAAAAATGCCTTTACCTAACAAGTTATTATTACTCCAATAAGAATAGTGTTTGAATGATTTCAAGTGAAAAATATTTTAAAAAAATATGACATAATTTAAAAAACATATCAATAGTATTAAGCTTTTCAAAAGCAAGCGTTTTAAACTTATCAGTGAAGTTCTGCCTAACGGCTAATAAAAATAAAAAGATAGCAAAATATTTCTTAAAAATATATAAAAATGACTAATACGTATTGAAATCATTAGAAGTAAAAACGTTATATTGGTTAAAAAAATGTTTGTATACGCAGCATATGTAAAATTAACGTATAATACACAAAGATCCTCTTTAAAGTAATAAGTTGTATGTTTGGTTTAAGGGGTGGAACTCTTTTCGCCCAAAAATGACCTTCCTCTTTTTGCCCACGTCCTCTTTTCGACCAAAAATGAAAAAACAGTTTCCTCTTTTCGCCCAAAAATAATTGTATTCTTTTCGCCCATGGTTTCACGTTTTACATTTTGGAAATCACTTTCTCAAAATTAATGATTTTTAAAAAATCATATTTGATATTCGATAAAATCACGTTTTTGATTGTTATTAATATAGTCAGCCGAGAAAAGTGTATAAAGGTGCCGACTCTTCTATCGAAATATATAGTTTAAAACACTTTAATAAACGTTATAATTACTTAAAAGTCATAATTAATATGAATATTTGTATTATTTTACAACAACAAAACAAACTATTTATTTAAGTAGTAACCTGATCAAATTACTTATTAGTTATTTTCCATCGATAACACTATTTTAAATACTTATTTTTAACACTTATTAAATTATTATTAATAATTATATATTTTTCTATTTTTTTATTTGATTATTATATGATTTTTTTAAAAATTATTAATTTTGAGACAGTGGTTTCCAAAATGTAAAACGTGAAACCATGGGCGAGAAGAATACAATTATTTTTGGGCGAAAAGAGGAAACTGTTTTTCATCTTTGGTCGAAAAGAGGACGTGGGCAAAAAGAGGAAGGTTATTTTTGGGCGAAAGGAGTACCGCCCGGTTTAAGAGACGCTTGAGTAATAGATCAAATAGAAATAAAATATAGTAAAAGATAGAATAAAATTATAATTTTATGTGTTTTATTATTAGACCTAAATAAGACACTAACACCGCCTAATACGATATATATATACACAAGATATAAATATATATTTTTGTTTTCCGTCGAATAAATAAAAATTATTAATAATAAATAATTTAGTTTTATTTAAAAAAAATAATACCAACCTCAATAACATTTGGTATTTGAATAAAATCTGAATTTCTATTCAAATTAAGAAAATAACGGTTGTACTAAAAAATTGCATTAAAACATTCTTATAAAATGTATTTATAATTTACTTATATATAGTATATTTACATGTTTTTATAATCTAATGAAAAATCTTAATATAATAATGTCTTAGAAAACTCATTTGACAGTAATAAAAATTCTTAGTGTATTAATTTCATAGTGACTACTACGATACTCATAATCATGAATTACCTGATTGCGTTTTTTTCTAAAATAATGAAAATAATCAAGTTATGTTTTAGATATAATTTATAATTAACAGTGATACGAATTAAACATTTTCATATTATACTTACACTTTTCGATTTTTGCAAAAAAAATTTCAATTATTTTATTATTTTAAAAAATTTGAAGACATTTAACAAAGTTAATTTTTTTAGAAATGTAAACTTTTAAGCTCTTAATTATTATTAGTAACATTATTTTTGTTTACAGGAAAATATTATACCTATAAAATAATATTAAACAGAAAACTAGATTAGTTAATATTATCAAAGCACTATTATATTTAGTGATAAACTACCAGAAAAATTAATTAACCAATTATTATAACACGTAATTATAAATCCTAATAAACCCCTCTTAATTTAATTATTGCATTTTCACTTCGTACATATGTACACGTAAATTCGAAAAATAAAGTGTATAATATTTTGAACTTAAAGCTCGATTTTATAGCGCTTTTTCATATATTTTTAGAATACATTGCATTAAGTAACTATAATTGTACTAATATATAATCCCAATAACAACAATAATAACTAATTAAAAATGAAATATGTTTCGTACCTGTATTCATCCACGAATTGGGTCGTCCGTTCCGAAAATGCAAACAGGGTCAATTCACTTGCGACCGTTTCAAACGCCGACGATACACTCATCCTCGCGGCACGTGTTGTATACAATAAGGACTCGGGATCCTGTATATTCGAGGCGGAGCCGAATCAGACCAATCCCTGTTCACTAGGGGCGTCTCAGCGCATATGCCCTTTGCCGCCGACGACGCCCCGATCCCTTTCTATATGGTTCATATAATTTTAAATATTTTCTATTTGCTTTAGCATGTTTTTAGTTTTCGCCTGACCATGAACACTAGAGTTAGAAAGGCAGTGATACGATGGAGCGGGGAAGAGGAAGGGTGGATGCAGATAGGGAGCATGAAATTAAAAAACAATAAAATATAAACCAGAGCACATACGTACATGTGGTCTAAAAGTCGAGTGGCCTTATGGTGCACGTTTTATCCTGGAACGAGGGAACCCCTTTAGATCAATGAATACATTATAAACCTTATACATGGGATTTCATTATGCTACCATGACAAGTGCCTTGGACCCTAGTATATTTTGCAAATGTAGTTCGTAATGCGACAAAAAATTATTTCTAATGTATTTCTACTTTCCTCTTAAATGCAAAATTTTAAAAATTACAAATTTAGTTAGTACATGAATGTAATCTATGTCTGTATTATGTTTTGATCATGACATATTATACTGTATGTATTAGTCAAAAAATTATAAAGTCCATAAACAATATTTATATAGATATTTATTCGATAAAAAAAACTTAACATATGTGAAATATATTTATTCTTTTACATTTTTATAAAATTAATTTTAATTTTAATACATATTCTATTTTAACAATATACTTTTATTTATTAAAATAATTTTATATTAATAAAATATTTTTATGTACAAACTATTTACAACAATTATTTTCCTACGAAATAAATATACGTACTCAAAAATATAATTATTAAAAATAATATTAAAATATTTGTAATAGGAAGTTAATATCTTATACTTCGCATCATTACTACTGTATAAGTAATATATTTCTTTGAAATACTAAAATATTAATTTTAATTTATTTATTATTTTCTCGACCAAAAACAAAAGTTCTAAATAACCTAAATATTTAGTACATAAAAATATAGCAACAAATAAAATATATCAACTTTAAAGTACCCATTTAAAAATTAAAGTAACTTTTCTAAAATTCCTGGAAGTGTTATAAAATCATACAGCTAAAATACTTATTATCAGCATAATAATATATTATAAAATATATTATAAAACAATAAACTAAAAAACACAAATATGTGGTTCCTTATATGCTAGTATTAACTACTAGTATTAATTATATAATTTTTTAATCGAATTGCACTGTAAAAAAATTCATATTATATTTTTATACTCATAAACTTGTATAGCTTACCTATGTTTAATTGTCTATTGTCCGTTATAAAATGTATGATCCGATTTGTTGTAGCAACAATTGTACAATTTACTAACACATGTTTATATTACTATAACTAACATTTACAAATACAACTACAAAAATTAAATTATTGTATTTTAATCAGCGACTGTAGACAAATTAAAATTGCTAGACTGTATACATGAAAGTAATTTTAATAATTAAATACATTCAGTAAATACTTAATTATAATTATAACTGTAAATAATATTTTATAATCTTCACAAAAACTGAAAATCGTAATGATATACATTATAAAGAACTCAGTTACAACAATTGTGTTAGTAATTCGATATGATATTCAAATACGAGTACTTATTATTTAGTCGTAGTAAAGTATAAAATGAAAATATTCATACATTTTTTATATCAACTTATCCATCCCGAGGTTGATGAAACTATCAAACGGAAACTTTAACCGGGTAAAGAATAAAACGACATTTGTTTTACAAAAAAAAAAAAAAAAAAGAAATAATAAACACGAATAAAAATAATAATAACCAAAAAAGAAAAACACGCACTTTAGTCCAATTTTTTAATGTCATTATTATTCGGGTTAATATCATTCCGGGTTTCCGTCATCTCAGAAAGAGTATGTATTAAATATACAAGAAGAGGCAGAATTTTTATATTGTATGTATATATATATATATATATATATATATATATGCATGTATAAATATATGATATTTTTTTTCTAATATAAAAGAGAATATTCAGAAAGAGAAAAAAAGTATTCGAGGACCTGCAAAAAGATAAATGCCTTGTGGAAGTCGTTAAAGAATAATGTTCTCCGGTTTGGTGTTGCCATGCTGCAGTATAATAGTGAGAGACGGAAAACCATCGCGGCAATATGACCCCCTCGGCGATTTTTCATATCCTTCGCCTTTTATATTCAAATAATATATATTCGGCAATAAATATGGCTGTTTAACAGTAAAAAATGATAATTTTACATCCCTCATCCCCCACCGCTGCACCAAACCGCAAGGTTTTGTTGTCTCGTAATTCTGATTTTTATTGTTCCTACGTCTCCAAGAGCTTTTTATAAAACACACAATTTCTTATTTTTTTCCATTTTAACTCGTATTTTATTATTTTTCTTGGATACATTACAAAATTTCTCTAAAAACCATTCTTTGTGTCTCATACCGTACGCAAAGTGTCTACACAAAACCCGTGTTCGATTTATACATTAAATTATGTATTCATAGTTTATGTATTATTTTTGCATAAGTAATCGCGTAAAAATCACAATGATTTTCATTTAAATAAAAATTAATCAGTTTATAAATACCACAAATATTTATAATATTTAACAGACTTGGGTAAAATACTTTATACAAATTGTATTCCAAATACATTATTTAGAATACTTTTAAAATACTTCTGGTTTTCATACTATAAAAATAATAGATGTCAACTCAACAGAAATATTTGAAATTGTAGGCTAAATTATATGTTATTTTATTATATTTTTATATTACATAACTATTATAGTTTATGGTTTACAACAATATTAAATACCACCTGATATTAGCTTATACAAGATAGGGTATAGTTAATAGTAAGTTAATAATAATAAAATCATTTAAAAAAGAGATGATTTAACGTTATTCGAAATACAGTATTCAGAACACTCGTTATAAGTATTCAAAATACTTTATTGAATACTTTCAAAAAAGGTATTTAAAAAGTATTCGAAATACTTAAAAAGTATTCTGAATACAGTATTCCGAATATTGTATTCGGAATACTACTCAAATCTAATATTTAAACAATAAAATCTTTTGTTCTAAACATTTAAATAAGTATATTTAAAATAAAAATCTTTTAGATACCGAATGAAAAGAAATGTATATAGGTTTTATAATTATGTGGGCTTTATTTCTCAATTATATGTAAGCACTTTTTTGGTATAGCCTTATAAATAAATAAATAAGATGTGCTCCAAAAGTTTCTTGTAGTACTATATATCGATTGAGAATTGACACGGAAGTTGCCTACATACTTTATTAATATTTCTTGGATTTTGTATTTGTTTTAAAGAAACTTGCGAAAAACAACATAATTGCAACTATCACGAGAAACCGTTGAACTTTACAAAATAAGTTTACAATAAAGTCAAAAATATAGTTTTTAAAGATTAAAAACTAATAACTTGAAATTTGACCTCATTATCTGAATGTTATTGAATTATTGAAGCTCCGTAAAACTTTTATTGACAGTTTGATACACTTTTTGAATTTTAAATATTGATTAAATTAATTATAATCCTACTTATTTATTAAACCTACATTTTAAATGATTTCTGTGATCTGAGTTGTAATTTGGTTTTTTTTAGTTATCGTGCTCATGGTTTATTCAATAACCTATATGTATGTTTTGTGTCCATTTTAATGTAAGCCCTACTTATAAAAGTATGAAAACCATATCTATACTTTCCTTGATGTATTTCACGAGTTTTATCAATAACCATAAATCCATAATCTTTTCGGTTCCAACATAAATGATAAATTTTTCAAAACTCTGAAAAATCCATATCTGCAGAACAATTATCGTCGAATATATGTAGATTCTTATCATCTTGCTTGAATACTACTAAGAAATTTGCATTGTCTCTAACTAACTGTTTTAATATTTTCGAATATGTTTGTGCCAGTTCAAAAATTGAATTAGCACCAGAACGACGTCACATACTAAAATATTCACGAATAGGGGTTTGATTGCCACAAATAACGTCATCAAATGTAAAAATTGAATTTTTTTAACTGAACTAGGTTTTATAACTTTATCTGCATTTATAAATATGTAAAAATAAACACCTTTAATACTATTTATTATATTTTTTAATAGTATATATTTTTCTTGCTCAGGTGTTTTAGAGTATAAATAAATATTTTCAAATTTTAATCCATTCTATTAGTTATAAGATTAAACACATTTGATTTTTCCGATCCTGAAGGTCTGACCAATATTCATTAATACTATCTGGCAATAATGGTTCATGTCTTGATGGCTTTTTAATAATTTATATATCAACATTATCAATGCTTAATTTATCTTTTTGCTCGATTAATTTAATTTTTTTTTTTATATAAATAGTTAATAGTTAATAGTTTAAATATAAAGCCAGTTATAAATAAGGCGTTCAACTCATAAGTTAAAATCTGGTAAAAGCTTCTTAAATACTCTAAATGTTTGAATATTTTTTTTCACATCGAAACCGTTTTGATACTTTCAAATTCGTATAATTTTTATACAAACATTTTATCGACAAGACAAGTTTTCCAAATGGGTACCGACGAATGAGAAGGTTGTGTATGTTTTTTTCGCGTCTAACCGGATACGTTCAGAAGTACTTCACTTTACGAAAACTACAAAGGAACTCGAAATTAAAAATAAGAAACTTGAATGGAATAAAATGAAGGCAAAAATTAAAATAATAGAAATACTAGCTGAGAAATGTCGAACTCGACATTGATACAGCTTTGAAAATAATCGAAAAATGAAATAAGTATTTCTATAACAGTAAGAAAAATTATATTTTCAAATTATATTTATTATAGCAAATTTACGTTCAGTAATTAAAATATAGTGATGTTTGCGTTAATATTAA